GGCCCTTTTAACGAATGCACAAGAGAAGCAAGAAGTACGTGTCCACCCCTGTCATAGTCACACCTCCCACACTATTTCTTCTCTCTTGGCAGATCTAAAAGTCATTCAATGCATACCGAGCACGCGTTGTGAAATGCCTGGAGTTCTCCGTGGAAAAGGACCAACGCGGGTCTTCCTTCCGCAGCCATGCAATCATGTAGGCAACCTGCAGATCGTTTGGAAGGTCAAACTCCAAATCTACGCGGTGCAGACGAATTTCTCCCGTGTGTACGGGGCGCCCAGCGACGCTCAACCCCACGTCATTTGCGGCACGAAGAGAATTTCTGACGTCCATCAAGACATCGCCTGTTGCAGGATTCTTCTGAACGGTGTAATAGCGCCGCCCGTGAGACTCCAGAACCAACCACTCGTGTTTCTGACGAAAGAAACGGGCGATGGGGTTGGAATCACACATTGTGTAGAATGTAGACACGTGTCTCAGCACATCCTGCGCCTGAAGAAGAACATCGCGGTGAATGATGACCCGCCCCTCCTTGGCGCAGCAGTCACTAACGAAATCCACACAAAGCCCACATCCAGCCACAGCAGCGCAGATACCCAAATGATCGGTCACTGAAAGCCGGGCAGGTAGTGCGCTAAGCGACAGCCCAACGCCAAGCGTTGCTCCACATGTGAGGCCTTGTCCCATCACAGACAGTTTTACCTCCTCAGATATGAGGTCAGGGCCACATATTTCAGAAAAGTAAATCCTCAGCAAAGGCAACCAACCAACCAACCAACCAACAAAAAAAAAAAAAAAAAAGGGGGTCTGTTCAAGAGGAAGTCAAAAAAGTAAAACCCTTAAAAATAAGATCGATACAAAACAAATGCAAAAACAACCACAAAAACATTAAAGAAATAATGATCTTAATAATAGTAATAATAATAATTTCACGATAACGGAAATGACAACTTTACAGAAATGAATGAATCCGTAATAGAGCCTTCACTCTTCGGATATCGGTACTGTAAAGCAAGCATCTAACACATGTACAGGGAAGCAGCAATACAAATAAACAGAGTAATAAAGCAATCAAATGTACCCACCCGGAACTCTCCTGTTATCCTGACAGACTTCGGGTGTAGTTTGTTTGTGGGAGGTCGATGCCAGGGTTTGGCCTCCTAACTGCGCCAAAAAACTCGGATCCTTGTCGTAGCTGTATGAGTTTTCATGCAACATCAGAGGTGGTGGTGTTAAAGGTACTGGTTGTGCTAGTGCCTCGTCAAGAGAAAGATGCGTATGAGCGGTATCGATTCCCCATTGACAGTCAAGAAAACCTGTAATAAACCAGATAAAAGCCAACCAGATGACTATAAATGGAAACAGAAAAAAACAGAGCTGAACAATGAAACAGAATCCTTGAAAACCATTCCGCCACCCGTAACGTCTCAAAGTGACAGACTCAATCAAAAAAAGTGGAAAATCCTTGAAAAAAAACAGGAGTCCAACACCAATGATAATAAACCGGACCTTATGCGATGACCGAACAACATATCTACTTGCGCGAAGCCACAAGGCACCACTAACCAGTGTGTACACCAACGTGCCGATGATACAAAAAGCAAGATAAGCTGTCACAAGATCTTTTCCGTAGAGACTTAAATTTGGACGAAAGGATGCACCATAGTTAGCCCAAGAAAAAACAAATGCCACGAGGTAGAGCACCATGAGCACCACAGGAGGGAAACTGGTGCCGGGAGGCAACACGGACTTAATAAACGCCATCCTATTCATCCTCGCTCCCCCACCCTCTAAATCCACCACTAAAATTAATCAAAAAAAAAAAAAAAAAAAAAAAAAAAACAATGCCACAAATGATAATAACAACAATAATAATAATAAAGAACATAAAAAAAAAAAAAAAAAAAAAAAAAGAGGACCCCCATACTCAAGGGTAGTGACTTCAACCACAACATTTGCTGCCAACCCTGAAGTCATTTTCTTTCATCGGTTACATGTGGGATAATTTCAAAAAACAACAACAATATATATATTGCCACGACCTGCCGCTCAGAAACACCTGAAAAAAACTTTGAAGCTTGGCCTATGAAACGGTTCCTCGACTGGGTCGCGGCTCCGGCCCGTGCCCCTTCGGGAACAAAGCGGGCAACACCATGTTCACCGCCACCAACACATAGACCAACAATGAAGCTTTCCCCTCCAGGGAAAATATCAGCAACCTACGCTTAACCGACAGTCGCACTGTAATCACAGCTGTGCTGTGTGACTTATTCTTTACACAGTTTACACCATCCTCTTCCAAAAGGCACTCGCATGAAAAAACCCACGGATGCTCAAATACCAATCCAAGCGCAACCGGAATATCGAGAAATAACATCCTACTCTCTGGCGTCCCTCATTGAAGATAATACTCCGTCGCACAAACACGCAAGCCGGAGCACATCAGCGCCAGCGTCAACAGGTCGCAGAACACACGGCCAGCCATCATCATGAAAAATGGAGTCGACTGACACTGTGAAGTTAATCTGCAAGAGCATGGGAGAGAACAAAGAGAGAAGCGGCCGCTACACCACACACAGCCACCGCGCAGTAACAAACGGCAGCAGCCCAGCAGAAGCAGCAGCGCACACCCCACGACGCAGATGGAAACAGCACAAGGGCAAAAAAGCACAACGCCCTGCGGAAGAAACAACAACGAAAAAAACAAAAGAAAAAAAGGCAAAAAAATTAACATCAAAAAAAGAAAAAAAAAAAAAAAAGAAACAAACCCAAGGCTCCAGTGCGCACGCATCCACCCGCAACTATGTGTGTCCACGCAAACGGTCGTATGTGTGTCATGCACATGAGTGTGACTGGGATGCCTGCAACGTGACGGAGGTGGGAAACAAAGCGTAGCACACAACAGAGCAGCTGAAGAAAATGAAAAATATGCAAATTAATCTCTTAATTACATCGGACCACAAGAGACGCGAAAAAGTCCCCGTGGCTAATTGCTGGCACGCATAGCCCGCGCACACCTCTTCAGCCCAGAGTGGTGTACGCCAGCGCGGACACGGCAAGCACCAGCAAGGAACACACCCACGCAGAGCCGCTGAAGCTGCCGTTAGTACCGCGAGGGATCGGCCGTTCGAGTTTATCCTTATTAACTGGTGCTTTAGTAGTCGTCATACTTGGCGCCTCTGTACTAGCAGCCGCAGTTTTTGTTTGTTCCTTTGTCGTGTCCAAAGGTTTGGGTGATTCTGTCGTCGTCGTCGTGGTAGTAGTAGTGGTTGGCGCTTTTGTCGTCGTCGTAGTGGTTGGCGCTTTTGTCGTTGTTGTTGTTGTCGTTGTTGTCGTCGTAGTCGTCGTCGTAGTGGTTGTCGTAGTGGTTGTCGTGGTGGTTGTCGAAGTGGTAGTAGTAGTAGTAGTAGTAGTTGGCGCTTTTGACGTCGTGGTCGTCGTGGTGGTATTTTGAGCACCGTTTCCATTCGCTGTCACGCACACGGACGGGCAGCAGCACAGGGCGAGCACCAACAGGGCGCACAGCAGACGGCACGTCATCATCGTGAGTGTGGTCTTTCAGTGGTGTGAAGCTGATCTGCACAGTGAGGGACATGGAGAGCAACAGGGGAGACGAGAGGTGCGGCAGAAACACACAGAGGGCACACCACATGAGGAGAGGGCAGCAGCCAGGCATGCACCGTACGCCGCACACCACACACGACACACACTCCAATCCACGGCAGCAGGCACACACACACGCAGCCCTGCCGCAGCACCAACACACAGATGGAAGAGGGAGAAGCAAACAGGAGCGGCCCACAAGGCTCCACCGCATGTACATGCGGCGAGAGCGGTCCATCGTGCCTGCATCCCTTACGGAGGGTACGCACACACACAAGAGAAGGATAGAGCGCACACAGCAACACAAAAGCAAAGTAACAATAAAAAAGAAAGATCCCCGCACACCACGTGGATTGTTGGTCCACGGGAAGTGCAGCCAATATTCATCACAAAAATAATTCAGTTGCCCTTTGGCCTTCGTTCATATTCAGCGCACACCACTTCATGCAGGCCTGGGCACCGCCGCCGCAGCAGACGCAAACACAAGTAAAGACAACAAAAAAAAGAGTGGAGTTGGACTGGTAGACTGCGGTGCTGCTGTCAGTCCCACCGGTTATCCCGCTTGTTAGGACTTCTAACCGGCCGTGGTCTTTTCTTGTGATTGACAAATTTCTAAATTCAACGTTTTCGGCATCGATAGTAACCTTCCCAACGGTTTCTAACCCTTTAGCAGTCGTCTCGAAATTCCCAGGAATAATTGTTCTCTGTGCGCGTGTGGCGGTGTTCCACGAACTCGTGTGTCTACAACAATCCGCCAAATCCTCACGAACGCACTTTCCCTTGTTTGTTCTTTAGCTTTCAAGGCAGAAATTGGCCTTTGATTCCATGTCATTAAAGCCTTTCTGTTAGAATTTTTTTCTGTCGGGCCACCTCCCCGCCGTGTCGCTGTGCATCAGTAACGACACGGACATGTTTTCTTTGTTATTATTGTTGTTCTTGTCGCTGCACCTGGAGGATTTGCCTCATCTTCCTCTAGTTGTTGTCACTTCCCCTCCTGTTGTGTCTTTCCAATTGCCTGGTGACGCATAATGCGGGTATATTCGTCAGACTTTACACCCACGCTTCCCCATTTTAATATCACCCGCGTGTATTGGTCTTCCCAGTGGGATAAGATGCGCTGAACACGGTCCTGTGGGGCAAATTCACTTCGGTTGGCGTTGAAATGTCCGCTCCTGCTCCCAGCACTACTACTAACACTGCACTGTAAGCCGGAACTAAGTTCCCAATCCTCGCACTGGGAGCAAACGCCCACAACTTTTGTCTCGGGTTCTTGTAGGTGCGTTTGTGATGGGTAATCGAAGGGTGCCCGCTCGACAACCCCAGTGCCCAAGTTTTTCGGCATCCTATCCGTTGGGGCAAGAAGGAAGAATGCAGAGCAATCACATAACAACAAAGAAACAACAACAAAAAAAAAAAAAAAAACGGAGGTAAATAAGACATCTTGTACAGCCGCTGAAAAAAAAAAATTTTTTTTAGGGGTAAGGAAGTGAATCAAATCCGCTTCACAACATACACCTGCAACTCACGGTATTTCTCTATACGGCAATATTCTGTCGAAAACGATGTGAGATGACTTTGTAAAGTGCTTCCCTATACTCTGCAGCAGGGTAATCCTTCTCATCTGGGAGTGGGAGTGAAATGATGGTAGCTTTGTTAAGTTCCTCCATATCACTTTCTGTGAAGAAGGGAGCAAAATACGGATGTCGGAGAGCCTCCCGTGCTGTTATGCGCCGCGTAGGATTAAAAACAACGAGTTTGCAGGTAAGGTCCACCGCATCGGGGTCGTACTGGCGCAGGGTTTCATACAAGGGACAACTTTCGACGGGGGGAAGAGCGTCCATAAGCGGCCATGTTTCACTCGATCCTAAACTCTCCAAATCACCTGTTGTTGGTTCCCCCACCGCGCTAATGATGAGAGAAAGTTGATGCAGCGTTGAGCTCCCCATAAAAAGTGGTGATGACGTCAAAAGCTCACCCATGATGCAACCAACCGCCCACATGTCCATGGCGGTCGTATAATTCGCCGAGTTAACAAGTATTTCTGGAGCTCTGTACCAGCGAGTGGCGATGTAACCTGTCAGGTCACGGAATGCATCCTCGCCCTGAGACTGTATACACCGCGCAAGACCAAAGTCACCAAGCTTAATACGACAGTCAGAGTTCACAAAGATATTAGCCGGTTTCAAATCTCGATGAATTACTCCACGGCTGTGTAGATAAGCAACAATTTTTACAATCTGATAGGCCAAATACTGCCGATGAATTGGTCCCAATACATTATGCCGTAGAATTGTTGAGAGATCCGTCTCGGCAAGCTCAAACGCAAGGTAAATATCGGTGCCATTCACAGACCGTATCATATTCCTTAAGAGAACAATGCTCTCATGACGAAGAGCAGTAAGCAGCATCACCTCACGATACGTCCTCTGCGCATCCTGTTGGTTTCCAAACGCATCAAACACCTTCTTTAATGCCACTAGTGTATTTGTTTCACGGTCCAACGCACACCACACGATGCCGTACGCTCCGCTACCAATATGACGAAGAATTTTGTACCGCTGCTCGATTTGCCCATCGAGATTAAACGACGCCATGACCGGCAGACTCAGCAAACAATAGTAATAATAAATAAATAAATAACGTGCGTGTTTATGTACGTCCGGGAGCCGGAGGAAACCGTGAAGACGTACTCACCGGACAACTAGTACCAACAGGTGTGGGGTTGGCAAATAGTAATCGAAAAAAACACCAGCAAAAGAGCAACCGGAGGATGGAAAAAAATATTTTACAAAACAACAACAACAACAACAACAAAAGGGACGTTGCCATGAGACAATAAAATGAAGAATAACAACAACAAAAAAAAAAACAAAAAAAACACCGGAAGAGGGGGTGAAAGTAAGTTAAGAAAATGGGCGCTACAACACCACAGCGCCTCCTAGAGGAGCTGTCAACTGTAACTGAGGTGTGTTTACCGCAATGAGCGTCCAACCCCTCCAAAGGCTTTAAACCGCCGTTCCCTTGCCTCCCGTGCCCTTTCATCTGGCGTTTTCTCCACACCCTGCCGTTCCCCTTCGGATACAACTGGTGCAACTGGCTTGTCATTTACACGTCGTCCCCCTCCTGTGAATGGGACAAAGCCGGGCTTGGTCTGATCTTTTCCCTCTCGGTTTGTTGTCTCAGTGCTTTTCTCCTCTTTTTCCTTCACGATTGTTGGGCGCTTGAGAACAAAGGGAGCAAATTCCACACCCTCAGCCGTGCCAATCACATTGGTGCCTTCTTGCACTGGTAGCTCGTTCTCTGATGGAGTCAATGGCATATCCAATGGTCTTTCAAACTCAACTTTTAGCTCGGTTGCCTGCGCATCTGCACGGACAGTCGAGATAGCGTCGACACTTCGGTCCAACTCATCTGTGATATCAATAACATCGATGATAAAGTCGCGATCAAGATAATGCAGCATTATTGATGTGCCTCTCGTGAGGACAGGGTAGTGACTAAGATGCATCTTCAGCACTTGCCTGGGATCACTGAGG